GTATATATTTGTGTATAAGTGCATATATGTGGTTTTGTGCATGCATTCTAATATTTTTTGTGGCTTTTTAAGTCTCTTCCGCTGCGTTTTTCAGTGTTTTTATGAGTGATGGTCACTTGTTGGCCTGATAATTGTATTGTGTCCAAATTCGGTGTCAATTCACCCAGTGGTTTTTGAGTTATGTTAATCCCACAAATGAATATTACATTTTTATTTGTATAGATGGGAGGCACTTAATGTCCCCCCCCCCCCAAGGGGAGTAATGGAAGTATTTCTTGTGTTTTATGGACATTAAACTTTATATGATTATAATGTAATAAAAGAGTATTTCCTGTGTAGCTGTCTCCAACAGTTGTTGTAATTCTGGAAGCTGAGAGTCATATTCCAATATGGGAATGTACACTCCTTATTCCCGGTGGCGCAGTGAGTTAAACCTCTGTGCCGGCAGGACTGAAGATTTTTATTTTGGTTAATGGCTAGGCTTGTTTGATTGTGTTCTTATACACACTCAACCCAAGGAGCCCCCGGTGGCATGGTGGGTTAAACCCCAGTGCCGGCAGGACTAAAGACTGACAGGTCGCAGGTTCAAATTCGGGGAGAGGCGGATGAGCTCCCTCTATCAGCTCCAGCTCCTCATATGGGGACATGAGAGAAGCCTCCCACAAGGATGATTAAAAAAAACCATCAAATCATCTGGGCATCCCCTGGGCAACATCCCTGCAGACGGTCAATTCTCTCACACCAGAAGCGACATGCAGTTTCTCAAGTTGCTCCTGACATGACAAAAAAAATTCCAATGTTGCAAAATTTGAAAAAGTTAACTTCTTGGATTCAAACTCAGGTACAGTCCAAGTAATAAACTCCTGTAGTTTTGTACTCTATTAGATTACCTGCTTGATGAGAAACCATGTTGGCAACCCCCTCACTTGATGCACAGCTTGTGCTACAACCCTAACAGTGTTGAAAAGAAACTGCCTGTCTTAATGAAGTGTGAATTGTTGATGGGGCATGGAAGGAGATGCGGGCTTGGCTTATTTTCCATGACTGGTTGTGTTTACATGAGCTGGTGTTGACCTCATTGAAAAGTCTTCAAATACAAGTGCTTGTCCAGGATAAATTGCTGTTTCTCACGTTCAGTCTTGCTTTGTATCATAGTGATGTTTGCAGCTTCACTTGTCCATTGATTGGCCTCTTAGGTCATAAGGGAATAACATGTCCAACAAGATGAGCAGAGAATATTGGTGGCCATGTCTTTGTATGTGTGATAGTAGTTCCCACATATTTGCCTTTGTCTGTTATTGTGCTTGGTTCATGCCTGCAATTGCCAGGGAGTACAGTGGATACTTTTTTCCAGCTTGGTCTGTACTATGTGTGATGCAATCCAATAGGAATATTGCAAAGTTGATCTCAGAGGTCATCCAGAATTGTCCATTTTTAACAGCCTCTCCTCTCTCCATGTGAACTTGTTCTGGGGATGAGTGCATTGAGGCCTTCATGCCTAGAACATAGCTTTGCATGGTAGCAGTAACAGCAATACATATCTAGATCCAATTCAGCAGTGATGGCTTTGCAGAAAACTGTTAAGAGGGAATAGATGTTGAAATAGTATTGTATTTTGTCAATTCCAAGATTAACCTTTTTCCTGTATAAATATCTCTAAAAGTAGGATGCACCTTAGAATCTCAGTTGCGTTTTAATGTACAAGGGTTATCCGGAAAGTAAGGTTACAAGATTTTTTTGAAATTTGAATACTTAATATATTTTAATAAAACTTACATGGATTATAGCATAGATATTACAATATTTTTCTACATAATCACCATTCAGTTCAATAAATTTTGTGATCCATGGGACAAGTTTTTGATGCGTGTGTCATAGAGGTTTCCCTCTGCCTTTTTCAGCCAGTTTGTCACTTTGATTTTCACCTCATCATCGCGGAAAAGTGCTTTCCACCAAGGTGTTCCTTCAATTTAGTGAACAGATGATAGTCACTGGGTGAGAGATGGGGCTGTGCGAGGGGTGGCTTAAAACATCCCAATCTAAATCAACAACTCTTGTGTTGCATGAGTGGTGTGCAGAGGCACATTGTCATGAAGGAGACAGACTTCTGCCATCAGCATCCCAAGACGTTTGTTTTGAATGACTCTGCGAAGTTTCTTCATGGACCCACAATATATTCCATACCCATTTTGTCACATGCTATCTTGACATTACGTCCTCTCCATAAACTGTAATGATTTCACGATGAATTGCAGCAGCATTCATGCCCTTAGCATTTCGGTAGTGTATTACAGCGTGAACTTCGCACTTGGAGGAAAAAGGAATGAGGACGCTCATCTCTAATCTTCACCACAACACCAGTCAATGAGCTACTGACGACTGGCACTGCTCACTCACTTTCACTGGCTTCCCACTACTGAGAAAATTTCCCGTGAGAGCTATGTGCCTTGTAACCTTACTTTCCGGATAACCCTCGTTTATATAAAAACAGCTTTTTTTCTATTGTTGGATATTGAAATTAGAAGACATACGGTATTATTGGAACCAAAGGCCTCTTGGTGCCTTTACTCTACCAACAGCAGCCCATTTTAGATTTGAAAGAACTAACAATGTTGGTAGAAATAAGTTTAAAATCCTCAACAGAAGAAACATTTATTGAGGAGATGCATTCTTGGATTGAAAGCTTGGCTTTTCTAATCTAGGAAAAGAAAAATAATGGCAGGGAAACATGTCACAGCATGCTTTCCCTCATCAGAGAGCAGGCAGGAAGAGAAAAGTCAGAATGTGGAAAATTCACTCTGGGTCGGTTCATTTTCTTTATCACACAGGGCAGTCAATTAAATTTGGCACCTTTGCCATTCTTAGCCAGAGAGATCCTTGGCCTCCCTAAACTACAAGCCTCAGAATTCTGCAGGCAGCAGCCACAGGATTGAAGCTGGACACACACTTTACCTACTCTTCAAAATACAAGTGTGACAACAATTGGTGAAAGAGAGGAAGCAAAACAAATAAGGCACGAAAGAGTGCAGTCCCTCTCTGTTTAAGCTATTTTGTCATTAATGGATAAGAGAACAGCAGAAACAAGTGCAGAAACTGCTGCTGCTGCTTCCACCATAACTGTGCATGTATGCATTGCTATAGTTATAGTAATGGGGAATGTTTTAATGCTCTGTCCACACTGGAATAATCTTCTTTTGCAGGGTCTATTCAATTCCATGTAAAGCTGCTCATGCGGATATGAATGAGGTAATTTTACAATTTTAATTTTATGAAGCTGAATGATTCTAGTGCACCTTCCACATACTGGTAGTCAATGGTCTGAATATATTGAAGGTAGAAAAAGATTTGTTGAGATATACACTCCACTTAGGTGGAGAGGTGTGGGATTGAGAGCACTTTGCACATGAAGCATCCATCCATGTAATGTCTGGTTTGCCTCTTGGATTATCTGGAGCAACAAATAAGACAATGATAGGGTGTTATCTTTTCTGTCCCATTTCCCATAAGCAGAAATGTTTTCTGATGGTTCCTTTTTCATTTTGAAGTTAAATAAACCACCTGATGACAAACTCGAGGAGTTCTGGATTGATTTCAATTATGGAAGTGAAAGCATTAGCTTCAACTTTGAAGGACCAGAGGTAAAAAAAAAAACAAAAACAAAACCGAGATCCCTAAACTCTTTCCTGCACTTAAGTAACAGAAGAAAATACATTTTATGGAAATCTTTTTTCAGTGTTCACTTTGGGAGTCGGTGAAATTGGCAAAGGAAGACATCAGTAGCTTCTTCTTGCAAGGTAAGAATACACGGAAGATTCCTTACAGCCTGGAGATGTGTCTGCACTGAAATTGATCTTGTGTGAATCAGGAGTGGTCTTTATTGAAATTATCAAGTTAAATCAGAAAACATAGATGATGTACTAAGACATGAAGTCACTGGGGTTAGAGTCACAGGACACCCATAAAAGTGATAAACCATGAATACAGAAATTGCTATTTTTTTTACCCAAGAGAACAGCTTTCTAGGAAATACTAGGTCTTTTAGCATGTGGTTAACTTCTTCTAAGAAGTGGGCCATAGAATCACTTTAGAGGACCTGGAGCAGAGCTTTCAGAATGTTTCATGTTAGTGACACATTATTTTAGACATACATCATTTCAGGACACAATAATTTATTTTCATATATTTTTAAAATATATACATGAAAGATTTCTTCCATGAGATATGTTGTACCCTCATACATTTTGTTATTACAGTTTATATATGTGTCCATATATTTTATATGGGATTGAATTACTGTGTTGCAAAATGATGCATGTCTAAAAATGGTGTGTCACCAATGTTTGGAAATGTTTGGAATGCTCTGACCTAGAGGTTTCTAGAAAGTACATCTCTTTAGGAATCTTTAAATCAGAGCTTTACAAACTGTGTTGTGACAAATTAGATTGTCAGCTGCTATAGGTAGGCTGTATCACACAAACGTAACGAGAAACCTCTGAGTGTATCTGAAATTAGCAATACCAACTTGCATGTACTTTGATGCAGCAACGGTGCTCATGAGCATGGTGCACTAGAATATTTCATCATGTTTGTGTATGCACACTGCAATTGAGGAATCATAGAGGCTGACAAAGCTTATTCCAATTAACTTCTAATGATGTGGCTGTACCCAAAGTTCAAGAATGTGGGGTTGTTTTCTCACTTTATCACTGTGGGAGTAGAGTGCTGGGGCCATTATTTTCATATTTAGTTACTACTGAAACTTTTATAATTCAAACAGATTTGTTTATTCAATTGCAATTGAATTAGCCCTAAAATTTCTATTATGTTTCTAATTAAAAAAAGAAAAGCTGGTAGCTATTTAATCTCTTGGTTGCCAGTAACTGTTGTTTCCACTGAACAATTGGCATTGCCTTCAGCATCTTCCAACCTTGTGTGGGAAGGAAAAGAGGAAGGGAGTAAAAGATTGTAGTAGTAGTATATGGCCTGATATGCCGTTAAGAAGAAAAGCCGCTGCTTTCTCTTCTCCTACTACCTCATGGCCCATGAGGTCTCTTCCATCTGTGTGATTTTATGATTCATCAGATGGCCAGGAGCAGGAGGCAGAGGCGCTCCACTTCGCCGTGGGGTTTGGGGACTCCGGCACCCCACGCTTCACATCGCCCAGATCCATGGGAGGGCAATCACATGGGGAGAAACATGAACACGTGGCTTCCCCCCATAGATTTAATAGCAACATGGGAAATGATGGCATGCCAGTTCTATCCTTCACTCATGGAACCAGCACAACATCATCTGGTGGAAGCGGGCTGGCTCCACGGGCGACTGAGACTAGATCGGTGCATGCCAGAGATTTTAGCCCTGTATGATGAGGTCGCTAAGCTGTCCTGTTGCCTTCAATTGCAGTAAAGGGTGCTATCCCATTATCAATGCAGAAGTGAGTAATTTTCATATTCCAGTCTGATTAGGCACCATATATGAGTTTGCTACCAACTTGTCTCATACTCAAGGTAATAGAATTAGTTAGTTTTGGTTTTGCATTCACAACCAATATTGGTAATGCTCAAAAAAACACGTGCCTTCTTTTTTTCTTCATAAAGAGGAAGGGGGCGAAAAGGTCCTTAAACTGCTAATGAAGACCCCTACTACAATCAACAAAAGAGAAGTAACAAAGATAAAAATTCACTTTGATAGCCAGTTTGACATTTTGGCACCACTCTCTAAAGTAATGGGAATTGATAAAATGAGGGCAAGTATTTGTTTTTGTTTCCCCTGTACTTTAATACTTATTTCAGAGCTTTATATTGAGAGTGGGCTTTTTTGCATATTATTAAAATCATTCTAAAAATATTTATATATTTTAGTGACTAGTAGTTTCTGATGTTAGGAATAATCAACTTTTTAAATACTTAGAATGTAAGAAATGTTTCATTATGTGCAGATACTTGCTTGTTACTGTTGGCTGTATAAAACTTCTCCGAGTAAAGAATTTGCTTTAACTACAAAACAAAACAAAAAAAAATATCTGCAACTTTAATGAGTCTATTTCCACTTGTTTATTGTTGGAGATAACATACTTTGTTTGAAAAAAAATGTTAAAGAGAGAAAATTAATTTTTAAAATAATACTTCTTTATCCCAGCCATAAGGTTAGGTTTAGTCAAAGTCAGCTCCCCTACAAGACTTCAGGGTTTGATCATAAGTGGCATTCCTTCTTTTAGTTCATGTTAATGTTATATTTGAGAGAAAGTTTATCTGTCCTAGAATTTGATGTTAGGTCACAAAAATTCAGTATAAAGCTGCTTCCGAAAGCCCAACCAGAGGTTGTTTGGAAAGGAAAAGGCATAAGTAAGGGATGGTAATGATGTGGTGGAGCTCCTGGTGGCATGGCAGGTTAAACCGCTGAGCTGCTGAACTTGCTGCCTGAAAGGTCTGCAGTTCAAATGCAGGGAGCAGGATGAGCTCCTGTTGTTGTCCAGTTTCTTCCAATCTAACAGTTTGCAAATGTGAGTAGATCAATAGGTACAGCTCCAGCGGGAAAGTACTTCATGCAGTCATGCTAGCCACATGATCTTGGAGGTGTCTATGGACAAAACCGTCTCTTTGGCTTAGAAATGGAGATTAACACCACCCCCAGAGTTGGACATGACTACACTTAATGTCAAGGGGAAATCTTTACTTTTACCTTAATGTTGTGGTCTTCCATATTGTAACTGGGACTGCCAAATAAAACTCACAGCATTCCTCATCTGACTTAATGGGAGCTGAAGAAAATCTAGCTAGCCACATAATTTTCACTTTTAGTCTGAATCCACTTTCTAGTCCCAACTTGCTGAATGTGAAGACAATGCTTATGTGAATCCCTTTGATTCAGTTGACCTAACTGAGGTTGGCACTAGCATTTAAGGTTAGCCTTAATGGAGACACAATTTAGTGGCAGCTGATTCTGTGTACATGAGAATCATTGTGGTATAGTGACCTTGGGCAAGTCACATGCTCAGATGTAAAGAAAGGCATTGGCAAACCACTTCTGAATACATCTTGGGGATGTGTATAACCTGGCAGAGCTTTTCGGAGTTGAAGCTGTCTCCTCCAAGGAAGCCTGTTTGCCTGGCTCCTCCTTGGTGAACATTAGGTGCCTAGTTGGTAATGATGCCAGGACTAGACTTAACATGATCCAGTAGGGCTGTTTTTATATTTTCTTCTACTGCTGGAATTGATTAGCCAGATCTAGAAGAAGAAAAAGCATCAGAGTTGTCTACACTACAAAATCCTTCTGACGATGTTGCAAATAAGTTTTGACACAGCTCCTGTAAGTGCAAGCTTATACAAAATACATGTTTCTACATATAATTCATACTAGGCTTGTATAGACTTGTGAAATATTTTCATCTCCTCTCTGTTAATATGGTCTGAATAAAGTAGCTGTATCTGGGGCAATGAAAATAAGGTTGTTTTTTTTTTGGTTTTTAACAAAATGTGTGGATACTTCCTTTGGTAATAGGGGGTCAAACAAAATGTGCACAGTGGTTGGGAGTAAAGATGAGAATGTATTGGGGAAAAAACTGGAAAAATTGGAGGGTGGGGGGGGAAACAGATTTTTCCCATTCTTTCCCAATTTTTCCATGCCCCACCCTTTCCCCTAATTTTTCCAGGTTTTTTTTCCAGACCTTCCCTTCTCTAGTTGGCAGTAGCATGCATGTATTATTAGCTGCTTAATGTAAGGAAATCTTACTAGGGTGCAGCAGACATTAGTTGATCATTCCATAAGATATTGACTTCCTTCAGTTAAACTCTGTCTTTCAATTAATTTAACCAAATAGGCAACAAAGGACAAAGATGATCAACCACAGCAAAATCCAACAGGTGAGCACCTTTTGAGCATGGAGATATTTGCTATATTCTGCATATTTAGACTTCCACATGGCACAGACCAGCCTCTTGAAAACTACTGCCTATATTTTTCTTCTTGTGTTTGCTTCTTTTCATAGGTTTGCTGTACTTCTTCATGATTCTGGCAGTGCTTCTGTATGTTGTTGTGTGGAGTCATCCCTTGTCAGCTATTGTATTCAGGATTGGTAGTTAAAGAGATCAAGAAGCGGCCCTGTATTATGTGCTCCCTTTGTAGTTCTGCTTCAAAACAACTAGCATTCCAGAGCATTCCTTTCTAATGTTTGGTTTCCTCACCTTCACGGGGGAAATTAAATGGTAACATGAGATTTGGAGTGTTTGGGTGGGTTGTGTTAGTGGCATGCTTCATTTATCCTCTCTCTTTCATGTGTGTGTCATCTGTTTCGCACAAAGGCTGTACTAATGTGCTTGATGATAAAAACAGTTAGCGGCCCATGTCTCATTTGCTCATTAAAGATGTTGTTGATGACTCAAGATGAACTATGAACAGGTTGTCACAGTAGTTGGTGACTGTGTTCATCACATCTTTTTTCATGATTTATGGTTATAGAAATCTCAAAAAACTAACAGAATTCTAGAGTTGGAATGTGTCACGAAGGTGTTCTAATCCAAACTCCTGCAACAGCAGCATATCTGAAAAAATAACAGTCCAGCTGCCTCTTTTACATTGCTAGTGAAGTATATGTGATTTTAAATAAGATATTATGCCAGTTCCTGAGGTAGTCTGCCCTACAGTTGAGTATTTTATTTAAAGTCTATTTCCTTTTGATTCCCATCATACCTACTGCTTTCTGGATAACAGAAAACAGACCTTCTCCATCATATCATTGCACATAGTTGAGGATTGCTACTATATCTTCCCCAGTCATCTCCAGGCTACTCAAACTGATCTCTTTCGTTTATTCTGATTTCACTGGAAAACAGGTATTTTGTTTCC